AACAAAATTAGGCTTTAGAATAATTTTGTTTTCTTCTCCTAATATCTATTAAGCACGGGGGCATCTCTGCTTCTTGCCGCTCGGCCAGGTCTCTTATTCTTTTTGCCGGTCCCCTGCCCAAATAAATTTTTTCCAGACATTTCCCTACCAGTCCTGCTCATGGGGTGAGCATTGTAAATTATATCACATAAATTTTACAAAAATACCTGATATAAGTGAGTTATAAATTTTACGCCAAAATTATCTGATATTCAAAGGGTTATAAATAATTTAACTTTTAAATATTTGCTAAAAAATCCAGATTTGCTAAACACCTGGCGACACATATATAAACAGTAATATTTCCCTAATAAAATATAGTTATCGCCTATTATTATGGCTATATGCATGAACACGGCCACTATTAAAAACACACAATTATTGAAACAGAAACTAACGACTAAATTTTATTGAAGCTGCTCCCCCCCCCCTACTTTTTTATAGGTAATTTTAGAATGTTACCTAAAAAAAGCACAGATCCTATACCTCCTCGATTTTCTCTATTACACAAATAAGAAAGATGTTTTTTCCTTTTGAGTATAGGCCAAAATTTAAAATATCATTTTTAAAATATAATAAAGGAATCATGAGCTAGTTTCCGATCCTAAAGATTGGCTCCAGAAAAAAATCTGTTCTTTCAGGAAGATAGAAGTATAAAGTGATTCCTCAATCAAAGTGGCTATCAAACAATTTGGCGCTACCCGAAAACACTAATTTTTTTAGAATACATTATATATAATCATGTGGTAGTGTCGAATTAGAATATTAAAAATGCTGAAAAAAACCCCTTCATCCAAACTTAAAAACAGCGAGTTTTAACAATAACTCGTGACCTACGGAATATTGTAATATGTTAAAGGAAACATTAAAAAATAACATAAAGTAAAATAAAACATTTTATCAGTCGGAAAACCAACCAAAATTTGATATGATCGATATAATAAATGTTCATTTATATTTTTAAAAAAATCATCGTTTTCTAGAAGCGTGACCCTAGTCGGTTGAGCGTTTGCATCCCAATCCGATAGTTCTGGGTTCGAATCCAGCAAGGACCATATTTTTTTTTACTGAAGCTAACTAGGCGGTCCCTTCCTGGAGGGTTGATATATAAAATAATCTAAGGGAACGATTCATTTCTTACCTGATTTCGAACAAAAAAATTTATCCACAAAATTTTGAGTCATGTCTAATTTATATACTCTCATAATAATGTGAATGAAACATTGATTCAGGCAAATATAAATTAAAAATAGCTCGAAAGTTATTGAATAGTTTGTCAATTTATCAGGACATGTATATGTAATAGGAGCAATTAACCTTGAAAATAAAGGCAATTGGTAATATGAGCAATTGTATTCAACAAATGTGTATGATGATTAATTGGTATATTTATATTGATTTGTAAAAGATATATATATATAACTGAATTTTTTCATGATAGTTCAATGGCTCAGTTTACAAAAGGAAAAAAATTCAATATAAAAGAGTGCGAGATAGAAATTGTATTTATCAAAGATGGAATTCATTTTTTCAATGTCCATAATGGAGGACAGAGAAGTCGTTTTAGCAAATATTGGATTAGAAGTTTATTCAAAATTATTTACTTTCTGTTTACCTAAGACATTAGGTGAAATATCATACGAAGATATAATCAAACTTTTAAAAAATTTATTACTCGAATAAATCTAATTTTATGCTGAAGAGATATTGTTTTTTTTTAAAAAACGGAACTAGGAAAAGGAGGAATTATTACAGAATATATAAATAAAATTAAAGGTAAAAGCAAGCACGTGATTTTTAAAGTAACGTGATAAATTAGTGTCGGGAATTACGAATGAAAAAAATATTAATGAAGTTATTAATCAACGACATGGGAAAAAGGTTCAAATCACGACATACATGGAGACGTGAAAAATGATAACGTATACATAATTATCCTGCAGGAAATGAGATGAATAAAATTTCAAAAACAAGTGACAAGGGAGAAGCATGACAATTATTTGTTATTGTTGTGGATTAGAAAACTATATAAAACCAAAGTGCCCAAAATTAAATGCAATTTGTCATAACTGTGGAATAAAAGGACATTTACAGAAAGTTTGCAGAAGAAATCATGGTAAGAAAGAATATATTCTAACTATAGATATCCTAAAAAAGGGGGAAAGAAAGTTTTGAGGATTGGGATTCGGCAGAGGAGTCGCGGAAAAAATTTGAGGTGAAACTATTGATAGATAAAATATGTGTTAAATTTTTTTAAATGACACAGATTCAGCAGTCTCCATTTTGAATATAGAAGAGGATTTTACCGTTTAGATAATACCAGTAACAAAAATGGATATTTTTAAAAACTTAGAATAATTTAATGATCGATATTCAAGGTAAATGTATATTACCCGTTAATTATAAAAATAAAATTATATATCATGAATTTATAATTGTAAGCAATGATATTAATTTGATAGGTAGAAATTTAATAATAATAAATCAATGTAATACAATTAATGAGGTTGGGGGGGGGGGCATCATTATATATTAAGAAATTAGGTTTACTGAAATATTTTAAAGAAGTTTATCGGTAAAACCCAACCCCAAATTTCAAAGTCTTAAAAGCAGACCGATACCATTTTCCTGGAAGACAAAACTAGAAACGGAATTACAATGAATGGAATCCATAGGAGTTTTAGAAAATCTAAAATATTCGAATATTGCTTTTCTATCCTGCCTGTACTGAAAAAAGATGTATCCTTACGAATTTGCGGTGATTTCCGACAAACGGTTAATGCAAATATTTTAATTTATAAATATGCTATACCCAGAATTAGTGAATTATTAGTCACACTAGGTAGTGGATCCAAATACACGAAATACACGCTATTAGATTTATCAGAAGCGTATATTCAAATAGCACTAGATGAGGAGGCAAAAAATATGTTAGTGATCAACACGCCAAGTGGATTGTATCGTTACACACGACTTCCGTTTGGGGTAGCTTCAGCGCCAGCCATAACAAGCTATGGATTTGTTATCAAAAGGACTGGCGGTAAAACGATCATAGGGAAATGGTCCTCCGCAAATAAACTATGGGGAAAAATCTGTTTAAATCTTGTCGGACTAATTAACGGAGATATATATATCTAGTAATAATAGATAGTTTTAGTAAATGGCCTGAAATACAAAAACTTTCAAAAAATAGTTTTACTGAATTAAGAAAAATATTGTTAAGACTTTTTTGCTATTTTCGGTTACCCCAATATGATTTTTACGAATAATGGACCCCCATTTCAAAGTACAAAATTCAGTATATTTTGCTAACAATTAGCAATTAGAAATATATATGGTACCCCTTGCCACTCAAGAACCAAAGGAGAAGCGGAGCGGTTAGTACAAATTTTTAAGAATTTTTTAAATAAACATAATGATCCTAATAAAATACAAGATTTTCTTTTTAATTATTGAAATACTCCATAAATAACCATAAAATAATTACCAAGTTTATTTATGCTTAGATTTCAACCCATAGGAACCTTACAATTAATAAGACCAATTTATCCTCATCCATATAATTTAAATGAGAAAATATATGTAAAAGATTTCAAAAAAAAGATTAGAGATCTGCAAAGTTAGGCTCGGGGTCTAATTATATTTAAAATAATCGGGTTCGGGTCGGGCCGGGTCTAAATTTTTTTTTAAAATATATCTAAATTTTATCCATTTTATATTGAATTTTTAATGTAAAATAAAAATATATTTGATTTTATTTATTGAAACTAAACGACATATAACATTGTCTCTTATTTTGAGTAATTATAAAAATTAATTTCTATATTTAAAAAATTTCGGGCCAGGCCGTGCTTGAAAAATTAGGCCTGATGCAGATCATTAATTTGGATACCAGGTATCATTGTTAAAAGAACAGGACCAATGAAGTTTTTAGCTGAGACTAAATTATGTTTATGAAGAAGACATTAATTATTTAATTACATAGGTTCGACGATTCCAAATAAAAAAAAATAGAGGAAGGAAGAAAAGGAGAAGCTATGCAAACTATATCATGAATGAATGAAATTGATCTTATACAAAACTCGATAGCCAAAAACATTGTTCCTATAAAAATCTCGATAGCTAAAGACATTGATGTTATATAAGACTCGATAACGAAAGACACCGTCATAAATGAAAAGATTGAAATCGATAATACGGATCAACCCTCAGTGGTGAACGAAAGTACAATTAGCCGTTACCCAAAATGGGTAAGAAAACAATATACACTGTTCCAAATCGAGAGCCCAAAAAAGGAGAGAATAGATGTAACAGAATCAATTATCCTTGAAGATAAAGGGAAATTGGTAATATGAGTAATTATATTCGAATAGATTTGTTAATTGTGTTTGATGATTAATTGATGTATTTGTATTGATTTATAAAAGATATATAAACTAAAGAAGTTAATTAATAATTCATTGTTTTCGTGATGGTTCAGCTTATTACACATGCTTGGAAATGGTACAGCCTACACGTTTTTTAGGCAAAATCAAATCATCTAATTTAAAAAATGCGCTCAGAAAATTTAATTTTAAATTTTACTATCCCCTTATGAATTTCAAACAATTCAAAAAAATACAGATATTTCCTGATTATGCTTAATGTTGGTAACGTCACCCATACAGTACTTTACCCTACTACTCCCCCCTCCCAGTTAAAAATTATCCTAATGATTCATTTAATTACTAAACGAGAGAAAATTAAACTAAATTACTTTATATGTTTTAATTATTAATTAAAAAATTATTATAAAATATACAAATAATTTTATAAGCAACTTTTAAATATTACTTATAAGATAAATATTATTATATACCAAAAAAATGTATGAACCAAAAAAAAAAGCTATTAAATTTATCTTTTTTTGAAAAAAAATAATATTTTTCTTTGTCGTACGAGACGATTTTTATTTTTCCAACACACCTTATAACAATAGGTTCGTCATTTTTGTAAATTCACAATATAATGTTAAACTGCGGGTAATTAAAAAATCATTTATCTATAAAAACGGAGTATTTCTTCAAATATGTATATTGAAAGATAAATTTTTCGCGTAGATGTTATTAAATCTGGAAAAATGATCCCACATATGGTTGCCGTAATTCCCGTCGCACCCATCAAGACAACCAAAATCACTAGCGGGTTTAGAATAATTATAGAATATGGGTAACCAATTAGGTTGCATGCACTGACAGGGATTGACATGGCTGGACATGCGAAGATTGGGTGAAGGATCGCCTTTATAATTTTCTAATTTTATTCCATGTGCCGTGGTGTGATGATGATATGAACTAGCCAGAGGAAAATTCAAATTTTCGTTTTTGATTTCGTTCGATCTACGATGACGAGAATGTAAAGAAGTCGTTGTGTCAGGTTTTTCATTTTGTTTATTATTATTATTATTTTTGTTGTTGCTGCTCAACTGGGCACCGGAAAGATTTACGCGGGCCTGAATGGAAGCGTTTTTCACCAAATGGCCTCTTTGTTTGCGTTTAGGTCTGTACTTGTAATCTGGGTGTTCCTTCATGTGCAGGCACCGTAAACGCTTGGCTTCGTCGATAAAGGGCCTTTTTCCGGTTTCAGAAAGTAATTTCCATTCGATTCCAAGCTTCTTGCTAATCTCCGAGTTATGCATTTTAGGATTATCGAAGGCTATTTTCCTGCGTCTGTCTCTGGACCAAACCATGAAAGCGTTCATGGGTCTTTTAACGTGTTGACTCGATAATCCGGAATATATAGCTCCCCGAGGGCTGCTTATGATGTAATTTTCCTCTTCAACTAGAGATACCTTATCAATAATTGGCACCTTTAGAAGGTACGTTTCACCCATGAATTTATTATTTTGAAAATGTGCACTTGATAGAATTTCAGGAATGTCCAATTTGTAATGACACTTGACAATAATATTTAGATAATTAAATTATAAATTATTTTATGGGAAAAAATTTATTTTAAATATTTTTGAATTGGTAAATTTTATTTTATTTTATTTTTTTTAAAAAATATAATAAAATTGACATTATTATTATTACGATGCAATATACAGTTTTTTTTAAATATTTATATAATGTCTAAAAAAAAGGATGTGTTATTTAATTTATATTATAATTGGTTGAATATATTATTCAAGAAAATATTACATTTTTTTGGTTCAAATGTGAGTAATAAAATGTAAAAAATGATAAGTAAATATAATATAATACTTCTGTTGAATAATGATTGTCAAATTAATTATATCTTTGTTTATAAATACCTTCTTTCTTTTTTTTATACGTCAACTGTTTAATTCTAAAAAAAGCAAACTAATATATATATAACAAATAAATTTATTTTGTACATATCTCGGTACTTAATTAAAACATAATTTACAAATGATTTATTTTAGAAATTATTGCCAAAATTAAATCAAATAATATCGTTATTTTTTTTTGTTTTCGGTAACTCGTTTTAATAAAGATTTGTTTTTAAACATCATTAATATTATAATTAAAATAAGAGACAAGAAAAAAAAGGATGCTTAAAGGTCACTTGTATCAACTTCTGTCATATAGACCTTCAATAGCTCTCTTGTTATGTTGGTTATTTTAAAGAAATACTACAGTTCCATTTAAAAAGAAAGAAAATTTATGAAAATATGAGGTGAAATGTGAGGATAAAACCCCTCCAACATAAAATCTTCCTCCTGCTATACTAAATATAAAAAAAAAATTATATAATCACTTTTAATTGCGGTTTATATGCAGGGTAATAAATTTTTGAAAATAAACGAATTAAATATTCTTCATAAATCAAAATTAGTCATTTTTTATAACATTCTTTAATCTGAACAATTTACTCACAATGATATAATTATGATGTACATTATATTAACTCATATTCCAATAAATGATATTAAATTAGAACCGTACGTCTTAAAAGTTTTTTTGTTAAATTATAATTTAGAACTAATTACTCACATAGTCCTCCCTTTCACCGGTATCTCTATATTTTGAGTGATAATACATAATTACCACTTACCAGGCCTATAAGGGAACATTTTATATAAAGTATACGAAAATTTTATTTTAGAATGATAATTATACGTATATATCTAAAACGAATTATTTGTTATACAATATTCGATACGATATATGAATAAGTTCGAACCGAATATGAATAAGAAAAATATATTATTCCTTAAATTATTATTTTTTTTATCTATATTATTCGATCTACATCTTTAAAATTTTTCGTTTTATTCGAAATCAATCATTATTAAATATTTGAAATTATTCATATATATACTACTATTTTCTTTACCTATTTTTTTAAAATTTATTTCCACTTATATAAATCACTTTTATTTTGAAATATATTTAAAAACCCATTTTTCATTTTTGAAAATATTTTTTTTTTAATATTCGTACGAATACCGGTGATTCAAACAGAACCTAAACCGGTATTACCGTTATTATTTTCCGAATCTAAACGGGGTCTGAACCGTAAAAAATTTGTCACCGAAATCTGAAACGGACCTCTAAAAATGCCCGCAAAGGGGTTTGAATCTTTGATATTTTAACTCGTTTAAAGATGATTAATAATCAATTTTGACTTATAATTAGAAATTATTTTTATACTTTTTAGTAAATAGAAGTGTTCCCTAAAATCTATTCCTCCTCCTTATAAATAGAGAAGATAATATTAAAAAAAAATACTTTATTTTAATAGTACACGGTTAAATTATGTTAGATTTTAAGTGAAAAAAGTTTTAATCCTATTTTTAAAGGTTCGCCCGAATGATACTCCCCGAGAATACGGAATTATTTAACTCATATGAATGGAATAAGAATAATGCAAATATTGGATTTGAATTTTTGTAGGTATAATTATATATTAAATAATGAGGAATCGTCATATATTTTTAAAAAAAGTACACCTAATCAAAAAAAACCAAACTATCCCTTTTCTAATTTAAATATATAGCAAAGACCTGCAGAGTTGTAAGGCCCGGCCCGGATTTTTGAAAAAAAAATAAAATACGGTCCGGCCCGTGTACCTACTCCAGGCCTAGGGCCTGGCCTGCAGGTCTTTGATATATAGTATATAATTAATTATGATTTAATGTATAGAATGCTTTATAATATACGAGTCCGATATATACATGATCTGTAGATATATTATACTTAGTAATCCTTGTTGCGTGTTACATCAATTCTGATAATGGGTCTTTGCGGTGTTGGGCAGTATCGTGGATATTTTTATCTACGATACAAAATATCTTGTTACTTGTATTCAAGATTTAAATTATTTAAAAATATGTGTGTCTTAATCAAAAAAATTATATTAATTAATTTAAATAGTATAGTAAAATTTCAAAGGACATTATTTTTAAAATTTAATTGAAGAATATAATCCGATATTAAAAATTTTAAGATAGGTTAATGATATATGCCATTGATCATTATATAACAATTGGCTAAACAACTAAAATATTTTATTAAAATCGCCATAAATCCATCATAAGTCATAGTCATAAAAATTATTAACCAAGTTATCGAAGATATAAATATAGAAAGGAAAAGTGAAAAAAAATGATGCTAAATATGGAGAATACAATTACAAATATAAATTAAGCATATTAAATAGAAAATTTTTTGAAGTCACCTAACATGAATATATACCAATCATAAAATTATTGTAGAGTTTAAAGAATATTACAAATTTATAAGTGATTCTGCAGACTAGTCATCTAATTCCGCCAGTAGCGTAGGCAAGGGGGAAGGGGGGAATCCCTGCCCTCCCCCCCCCCCCCTTATGAAAAATATGGGAAGTTTTTCATTTTAATTTTACTAAATTGATAATATAAATGCTTAAAATTTAAAAAAACAATTATTTTTATGTTTATTTGATTAATTTTTATATTTTTTAAAATAAATTTAAAATTATCTCGCAAAAAACTTGTATAGTTTGTCATATTCCTTTTTTAAAAAAATCTAGTTCCTCATGAAGAAACAATCATTAATTACAAATGTTAAACACAGATATGCCACAAGTCTATTTGCCTACCATTTTATGCCCCGCTATTAAATATAAAAGTACAAAGCTACTATGACATCAAGTCTCATATAAAAGATGATAGGATTTTTTATAGTGAAAATAATAGTAAAACACTTTAGATATTTTGTTTATTAAATTTTTCTTAAATTGCTTTTATTTTTCTTGAATCTTCGTCCTATCTTGAATCCTGGTATCAATTTTAGAAATTTTCGTATTTTGGCTATAAAAAACTGATCGATGAACTAGTAAGTATGCATTGTATAGTAGTGACCCGGCCGAAGGTCGGGCAAAACGGACCCCCTATTAGGAAAATTCTGGCTACACCACCGAATTTCGCTGAGCATCTAAAATTATATAATTTTATTAAAAAATCACATTTATAAGAATATTTATTTCATATTCAATATCATGTCATTTACATGCTAAATTTAGAAGGTTTTTTAAAGATAAATTTTATAGTAATGATTGATAATGAAATAAGAATGAAAAAATATTGATAAATAAAAGAATAATAGCAAATAAATCTCTAATCTTAAATATTTTTTAACTAGTAGAGACGCCATCTAGAAACATGCAAAGATTACAAGATTCATCACGAAGTATTTCACAAACAAAAAACAAGAAGAAATTGTAAATACTTCAAAAACATTAGCTAAAAAAACCCATAAGAGTGTTCAAATAATAAAAAGAATAATCTATTAACTTTTATTGTTGAAGGAATACATTCATTATCTATAGTTTAATAAAAAGAGTTTGTAAAAATGGTTGAAGGTAAATTATCTTCTCTTATCCATATCCTCTACTTGTTTAAACTATTATATTGTATTATGGATTTCCATTATACCAATAAATATTCTCGAAGATCTTTGCAAAGAAAAATTAATGAAAGCTTCAAATATGAAATAATTTTATAACAGGTATTGAAAGCTTAGACAAAAAATAATTGTAAAAATATTGTAAAATTTTTTGAACTTTATTTTCATTATAATTATGTACAATATATCTAGAGTTAATATTAGTTTAATTGATATAAATATAAATTCTAGCTCCATATATTATAAATTTATATTAAATGCTAATTCGGATTGCAATCTCTTAGGTTTTTTGTAAAATAAGTGGTAAGATATCTGAACAAAATTATTTTTTGTACAAGATTCGGGCCCAATGGATAATGACCATGCATAATAATGACAATCTCTCATAACACAATTTTATTGTAAGATAATTAGCATGTTTGAAATATGTTTCATTTGTGGAAACTTCCACAACCTTCTTCAACTATATTATTTGCTTCTTTTTAATTAAGAAAATAATTATAAATAAAAAATATGTTAATATCATTTCATTCATGTCAAATGTATTAGAGATAATAAATATTTATTTAAATTTTTTTAATTTTAATTATGAACCTAAACGGTTTATAAATATTTGTACTGTAAATACTCTTTTTTTTTAAAAAAAAAATAAACAAAAATATATATTTGTTGTAGTTTACATATTTTTTTTTCACATATATTTTATTTGATAAAGTGATTTATTTTAACTGACGTATTAATTTCTAAATAGCGGTTACATTTAAAAAGAAATTGTAAAGAATCATTCATGAACTTTTTATATTTGAATTTATTTTAGAAAGAATAAAAGATACTAAATTTAGAAAAACGTATCCCTCATTCTCCCATGAATTCTTCATGAGTTTTCCTATCTATTAGTTTCTTTACAATTTTACAATCACAAAAATATTTTTTCGTAATTTTTTCCAAGGATGATGCAATTGCACCCTTTTTGCAACCTGCTGCGGGTGCCCATTATTGTGTCCTGGATACGGCTGGCTTCCCATAAAGATTGATCTTACCAGGTCTTTCATTTATTATAACTTACTCTCAGTTGGGGTCACATGACTCCTTGGCATACAGGCCATTCAAAGGGGAATTCGTACTACCGGGTTTTTCTTTTACATT